GGTCTGTTCTCAGTTCTGCCTTGGGAGCTTATCGTGGGCCAGTGCCTTTCACTGTCACCAGGATATCAGAGGCACATGTTGAGATTTTAGAAAGTACAATTGTCCGGGTCTCCCTAATACAGCCCACGGGGGATGGGACCCAAGCATCTCTACTTCTACAAAGCTCCCGCGAGGGTCACCTGGGATGCAGAGCCATTGATCCAGCTGCAACGACTACACAGCAATTCCAGACCCATTCACTCATTCCAATAAAAGCTTTGGAGCTTCCTGCTACCAAATGAGTTGATGTCCTTCGAAAAACATCCATCTTGGTCCCTGGCACACTCAAGATTCTTGGTACTTCAGTTATATTCATCACCCCTTAATGAGAGCTTCTACTGTTGCAGAGAATGGGCAAAGGGAATGCAGTGGTGAGGAGGCACCTGTGGACTTGTGTACAGACAGGCAGGTGGACAGTGATCAGCAATGGGGAATCGCACTTAGCAAGGGAGGCAGCCAGTTGTGGTGGTCAGGGGAGGTTTTGTCCAGTGAGCTTGTTCTGAGCCACACAGTGGTCTAGGACTAGAAGGTCCTGGGCAAAGGTCCAAACTATGCATGCTCACTCTCCTTCGTTCTCATGCCAAGCTATCTGATCTCAGCAACATGGCTGTCAGGCCTGGCTCAGTGTTTAGCAAAAGAGAGGAACTGGAGCTTAGAGAATGCAGATGGCTCGCCAGGTGCCAGCAACCAGGCCCAAGGGAGAACTGAGTCACACCCTTCATTCCCCAAGCCCTCTGAAAAATGCCAGCCAGGGTCCTGTGCTTCCTGGATGGAAAGTCCATTGATGGACTCTTGATGCAAAGTCCATTGCCCTAGCCTTGCAATGAGCCTACTTCTAGGAGGCAGCAGGTGTCCTGAAGTGGACACATCACATACAGGCTAGCTCTCCCTTTAGCTGCTTCTGAGCCCCATTTCTCCAGAGATAAGGATGCCTTCATAGAATGTTCCGGAAGATGGTTAAGAAGATACAAGTGGCATAGGATGAGATCTGCCTCCCCTCTAACCTTCAGTGTCCACCATCATGTCCTTGTGTGTGTGTTGGGGAGAGGAAGGTGCATGACAAGCAGCCCCTTGGTCACCAATAACCAGCACATCCCCTGAGCCTGGTATTTCTCTAGGCATTCTACACACCTTCCCAGGCTGACTCCTCAGTGCAACCCTGCTGAGTGGTCACACCCAAGAGGCATCAGGTGCAGAAGAGAACATCTCTACATGGAGTAGAAGAAGGCATCAAACAAGGGCGTGGTATTGAAAGAAGAGTCCCAGGAGAGCGGTGCTGTGGGACATGCAGAGAGATGCTGGCCCAGGGCCAGAGGAGAGGGCTCAGCTGCTGCTCCCCCCACCCCCTGCCACCCAGCCACCCTGGCCTTGGTCAGCTCTTGTCTGCCATGAACACAGGGACTGGGGAGAGCAGAAGCAATAAGAACTGCAAGCTCCCAGCCCGCGACGGATGATTCATCCCTCACTCCTCATGTCATCTCCCATTTGTGCAGTTCTCATCTTTATTTCATGAATATTTCATTCTCCCCACAATGGCTCCACAGCCCCCATAAATCTCGCGGGTGGCTCTTTACCGCCTCTGTGGAGCATGGTGCACTCACCTGCATTGGGGAACTACATAATCGTCCGATTCCTTAGGAAAAATACGAGCTCAAATCCACATGAATATTAAGGGGTTGAACACACATTACTACCCTTCCCCGAGCAGGTGTCTAAACTCTGAAAATATCCCAGAGCAAGCCATTAAACACGACTTGGGCCCCACCCAAAGACAGGTTTCTGGCTCATAAGAAATACGGCACAGGGCCCCAAAATGAAGCATCCGAAGAGTAGCCAGACACTTTCACCTAATTGCAAAAGCTGCTCCATAAACCATGAGCAGCCAGCAACACAAAGTAGCTCAAGATTAAATATCATCATTAGTTTTTGAAGGTTTTAAAGACATGCTTCTACAACAGTATTGTTTCAACCCCTTTCCTGGTTCATACTCCTGATGTCATCAGGTCCAGGACCCCTGATGTGGCCTGCCTCCTTCTCCCGCCTCTTCTCCCCACATCACCTGCCTCAGGTGCCCATGTCAGTCCCCAGAGCTCCACACTTCATCTTCCCTTTGTCTACCCAGCCCCAAATACAACTTCCTATCTCAGTGCCACTCCAAGGATTTGCCCCAGCCCTACACCACTTAAGCCCTAAAACACCAAGCCCCAAGAAGTCCTGATGACCCAGTATCCTTGTTGTCCTGGCTGGATGGCCCCCTGCACATTCATGGTACCTGCTGCTCCCTTCAGCCCTGATCCACAGGACAGAGACTGCCTGGGAATCCTCTGCCCACCTGCCTTTGATAAGGTGAGCTCCCTGAGGGCAGGCTCAGCCTCCATAGGATGCTTATTAAAGAAAGAAGGGCAGGGAGACAGGGAGGGGAAATTTCACTTGAAAATTGGAAACTCCAATAAAGCCAGTGAAAGATGGGCTGTTTCCATGCAGCTCCTTTTAGCAACACCCAAAAGGGCAGAGGGAAAGGTTGTCGCGGCCTCTGCCCATCCCGCTGCTCTGCAGGTCCTCATTTCTATCCAGAAGGAGCTGGGTGCTGGGGCAGGAGGCCCCATATTTTGGAAGCAGGACCAATGTGTTCAACCTCTTGTCCTTGAGACCCTGGGCTTAGGCAGAAGCCAGGAAGGAAGACAGGATGCTGGCCAGAAAGGAACTGTTCCTAACATCTGGGTCCTCCCCTGGTCTGTTGATTTGTCTTTTTCCTCTACCTTCCTATCCACAGCTGTCCATCTCCCTCTCTCCCTCTTGCTCTCTCTCTCTCTCTCTCTCTCTCTGGTTGTCTGTTTTGTCTCTGTCTGTCACTCTTTTTCTCCCTCTGTCTTTGTCTCTCACATACACCACAGGTGTGCATACACCCCCCCCCAACAGGTCCATCTGTCTGTCTTCTCTTCCTCTCTCTCTCTCACATCCCCATGACAACTGAGTCTGGGTTGCTCCAGGCTGGAACTGTCACCATTTTAGGGGCTGTGAAGGGCCATGACAGAAGGCAGACAAGGACTTCCAATCCAGAGAGCTGCCTGTTCCTGCACCCGCCCCCAGAGGATGTGCTGCAGGGCTGGGCCTGAGCTTGTATCCACTCGCTCTGCACCCCTCTGCTCCCCACGCCCCTGGCCCGGGGGGGCGAAGAACACCTCGATGTTAGCAAGAAGTTCACCGGCCAGCAGTACCCTCCCTTGCTCCTCTGACCCAAGGGGTAGCAGAAATGAGGCTGCAGACCTAGGAAAATGAACACGTCCCAAACACACCTGTGCAGTGAGTGCAGTGGGTGCCAGCTGGAGGGCCCGTTTCTCCTGTGCTCCCTGGTCCTACGAGGGGTGGCTCTGTGGCCACTGCACCCCTGCTGCCTACAGATGCTTCTGTGTACAGTGACCTGAGCGGTGGCAGCGGATGAAGTGCCCTGGCCATGGGATAGCAGCACGCACATGACACACAGGCTGGAGGGCGAGGTGTGCATGGCCCTTCCTTGACAAAACCCACACATCATGTGCCTCCCCATGACTTCTCCATCCCACATTTACAACAGCAGAAGCAGCTGAGGATGGAACGGAGAACTTCCTCTCGGTGGATTTTGCTTCCTTCTTGGCCTCTTGTGGTCCACGCGCACTGGAGGAGGCAGCAGACCCAGGCCTGGCATTTCCTGTCACACAGCTACACAGGAGGCTCAGAACATCAGAAGCACTGAGCCAAGCAGTGCCCTACTTCCAGGGGAAACCATACAAGACAGAGCACCCAATGCCTGGTGCTAGCGGAGAGTGCGGAGAGGCAGGGGGGAGAGGGTGGGATGGCGGCACTGTCTTCCCCCAGGCCCCTGGACTGGCCTGCAGACATGAATGGCAGCTGTGGCCCTGGCAATGCATGAGGGTGTGGCCCAATCAGAAGAGAGGGAGCTGGCCTGCTCTTACTGTTCGCCCATCCCACCCCCTATATCAGGATATCCGAAGCCACCCACCTCTGAAGCCATTTTATAAACTGTCACGGGTCACCTGAGCCTCTGGGGAAGACAAACATGGGCCAAAGGAAAAGGTGTCTTTGGATTCGGTGCTGATTGCTTTCCTACTTCCCTGTGGCGACTGAGATCTGTCTGCACCAAGGGCACCAGCCCGTGAAGCTGAGTCTCCAGGTGCAGCTAGGCTGTCTGTGTGTGTCAGGCAGGGGGAGCCTGTGGATGGAGGGGCTGTGCTTGTGCTACGGAGGCCTGGATGCAGGGTTGTGTCACTCTTCCCTCCTCTCTTAGGGGAGCCATCCCCAGAGCACCCTGGTACAGGCTTGATTTAAAAAAATGTAAAATGAGCTTGAAGAAGAAAAACAATGCCCAATGAGCAGGAAGGTCCAGGGGCCAGAATCGGCCTGCGGTCAGTAGGTCGGCACACCTCGGGGAGGCAAGTGTGCCCTGAAGCCCGCCTCTGGGTGGAGTTACAATGTCCCCTGAGCTGGCTGAGCCCTGGAGGGATGGGGCCCTGAAGGGAGGTGGGAGAAAGGGTTGATGGGGTAGGGGCACAGGGCCCCCCTTACACCCTGGGAGAAGTCAAAGAGGACTAGGAAGGGATGCAGGGTCCTCTCTTACCCTACAGGTGGTTTGTCCAGGTCAGGGTGGAGGCGCATGGGCGGGGCAGGGCAGGGCAGGGCTCTCTGGTGCTGCCCACACTGTACCTGCTCTATGGATAAATACAGGACTTTAGTGCCCAAGGCTGGCAGCTCAGCGTGTTGCTCAAGCATGAAAACATCCCTTATACTATTTTCTCTTGCTTTCAAGATAAAACAAAGACACCACCCCCACCCCCTATAAAACACAGCTGTCTGCACACAGAGGGGTGAACCCTAGCTGGAGGAAAGCTGCCCACTGCACGGCTCAGGGTGGCCCTCTTGCCTCCAGCTGCACGGAAGAGAGATGCAGGACCCAGGCTACAGACCTCTTTGGGGCTCTCCTGGTGGCATCGGTTGCTGTTCCACCACAACTCCAGGGCAGCCACCAGGCAGGCAAGGAGGAGGCCGATGGCCAGGATGCAGAAGACCCCAGCAAAGCTGTGCAACTTGAGAGATTTGCCGTCGGCCTGGGCGCTGGTGTGGCTGGTGAGGTCGCAGCGGCCAGTGTGTGGCCACCACTTCTGCTTGAGTACATCCAGGTCCCCTGTGTCCTGTAGCTCCAGGATCCTGCAAGACACGACATAGGTGAGCCACAGCCACTGACTGCCCCCGTGCAGCCATGGGGTCCTGGCTAACCCCTCCAGAGGACAACCTTGAACTTCCATAGCAGCTCTCTGCTCAGCACTCGACCTCTCCACATTGCAGGCACACGACCCTCCAGAATATGCAGTGGGTCTGGCCACTGCCCGCCTTTTGCACAGGCCCACTTACCTCATTCCCTCTGTCCCACTGCCCATGGATAGCCAACAACAAAGCACAGAAGGCCCTTTGTACGGCATCTGGGGCACACACTCAGGGTAGAGTTGAGAAACAGGGGTGACTAAGCAGTGACTAAGAGGCAGGCTGGGATGCCCTCATCCCACACTGGAGTGCCTTGGTTGATTCCTGCCTCCACTCCTAACTCTAGCTTCTTGCTAATGCACACTCTGGGAATAAACAGGCAATGGCTCAAGGAACTGGGTCCCGGCCATCCACGTGGGAGACCTGGATTGAGTTCCCAGTTGTTGCAGGCATTTGGGGGCGTGAACCAGTGAAGGGAAGCTCTCTCTTCTTCTCTTTTTCTCTGCCTCTCAAACAAATAAATAGATAGGGAAATACAGAATGGGGATGAGGCCAACATTGACTGTGGATTCAGGGTGTTCTTGATGACACAAATGCTTTCTTTGAAACCTCAATAATTATATCCTACGTCTGTCCTAGCAGAACTCATCAAATCCTCCACTCATTTGCTCATTTGATCTGAGCAGCTTCTGTATGTGCCAGGTATGAAGTTCAGCATCACCCTTTAAACAGCTAGAGCCATGGTGCAAAGGCAGAAGCTGGGATAAATACAATGACATGGAAGAAGAGGCCCCGGGAAATTGCACTGCGTGGGGATGTGTGGCTCGGACTGGAGGATAGGGAGGAACTCATGGAGGAGGTGACAGGAAAGGGAAGCCTGGGGGAATGGATCATAAACTAGCTCATACTGGTCTAGCACATGCTGGGGGCCATGGAGCATCTTCAGTTGGCAAACAGGGCTGAATCTTCCTGACCCTTGAGTGGTCATGAATTTCCATTTAGGACAGCGAAGCAAATCGAGGCCCAGGATGGGTATTGGATAGGCGAGAAGAACTGCCCCAGAGAGAGCTGTGTGTGTCTGTGCCATTGGGTGAGAGCTCAGGGGGTTTCAGAAGTCAGGACATGGTCAGAGAGGCTGTGGAGTGGATGGTGTGAGGGAGACGGTGACGTGGGCAGGACCCAGAGTGCAGGCTCTTCATGCGATGGTGATGGTGATTGCTCCTAGAGTCCTGGTGGTGATTTACTTTTGTGCAGATATTTTGTAGATTCTGTCACTCAGGGGTCTGAACAGTGGTAGGCGGTAGCCCCCAGATTCCAAACACTCACACTTTCCCAATCGAGGAATAGAGTTCTTAAAGCCTGACCCATGGAGCTGTATTCAGCTAACAGTATCTGCACTGACCTCTGTAGCGACAGCAGCGGTTCTTCCTAGCTGGAGCCGCTGTCGGCTGGATGGCTGAACAGTCTCTACCCTGTGCCCGTCTTGCACCTGCTGGCTGTGGCAGCAGGCCTGCAACTGTGCACAGTCTCCTTCATGGGCTTGCATCTGGTAGAGGCAAAGAGTGACAGCCCAAAGGCTTTCCTTTGACCTGTCATGGGCCTAGCATGGGCACAGTCTGGCTTGGTGCAAAGTGTGGGCTTTGGAGGCCTCAGCTGTGTGTCCCTGGACAGGAACTGGCCCCAGCTAAACATCAGTGTCCTCATCTTTGCAAGCAAGACCTCAGATCTCTCTGGATGAGCAGATCCTTTGCAAACTGCCCGCATTTTCTCCTGAGCAGCAGAATCAAGCCATCAACAGATGTATGCTGCATCAATAAATACACCAAGGTCTTAACTGATTAATGAAAGCTAATCTAAACTAAAACAGCTGCGGGGAGATACTGATAATAATGTCCAGGGCACTGATCAGCGGGAAGACACAGAATGTGGCTGTGCATGGGAGAACTTGGTCCTGCGTGATTTATGCATGCCTTCATGCAGGTCGGGGTCAGCGTGGAATGCCCCTCAACACCACAGATCTCTTGTGTGACACATGATGTGATAAACTGGGCAGCTACAGTGTTGGCTCAGAGTCTATCATGCATGTCTGGCCGTCCCCTGACCGTATTTCAGCCTCTGCTGGTAGGGTTGAGTAGCCTGGGCCTTTGGCACTTAGAAGAAACCCAGGGCCCAGATAAACAGGATGTTGAGGCCCTGAAGGCTAGGGGTTGAACCAGCTCACCATGAAGATGGCAGGACTAGGTGCTTATGAACACACACGCTGGCCTGGGCATCAGTTCCAACCTAGACTTGGAACCTCTCCACTACGATGTGAGATGATAACAAATGTGTCCACTTCCCAGGATTATAGTGATGCAATGAAACAAGGGAGCACATGAAGACCTGATGCTTAAGACCCAGCCAATGCTAGAGTCCCATTCAAGCTGGTCAGTGGCTGTCCAGTCTGACGGCCAGGCTGGGCAGTGACCGCCTTGGCATTTACACTGTTTGAATCCTCGTCACAGTGTAGTTCTTAGGGTGTCTGTCTTATTTCTTGAAAACACGAGGCACACACTTCTACATCATTGGCTGACAGCTGCATTCAGAAAGTGGTAGTGCTGCTCTTCAGAGCTTGGTCATTCTGACCTGGGAGGTCACACATGCTCTTTCCACAGCAGCGGGTCAAGTTCTGGCCTGGGCCATGCTGAGGCCCTGGCCAGATCAGTGTGGAGGGGTCGGCCCCACTCCTCCATCCACGAGGGCAGCCCCTGTGCGGTATGAAGCAGGCTGCTTGAACTCTTTGTCCTTCCCTTCTTCTTACTCCCTACGACTGTACCTTATTCCAGAAAGAATGTAAGGCAATTGACAGGAAACCACAAAACAAAGGAGAAGCAAAAACAAAAACATAAACCCTGAACAAGCAAAACAACACAGGAATGACAAAGCAAATCACGGGTACAAAATGACTTCTAGAACGAGGCTAAACTAAAATACACCACTGTAATCCATGCTTCTGCTTGGGAGTAAGTCAGAGTGATCTTTGCCACTTCCTGGGGCCCGCTATTCTATTTTTCAGAGAGAAGTGTAGGTGCTTTCCTTTATTCAATACTCATGGAGCCTGCTACTCAGCAGGTGCTCAATATGTGGAGATTAAGTTGCTAAACATTCATCCAATGTCCACTTGGTGTGCTGTGGTCTGCAAACATGTTACAGCCCATCACTCCCTCTTACACACACACACACACATTGTGCGTGTTCATCTACACCTTGCTCTCATTGTCCCTGTGAGGTCACATTTGGCACTGAGACCTGAGTCAGCGAGTGGACAAAAGATGCAAAGGCCTTCCCCAGAGTGGGCCTGTCACTCTGGGCTCCCACGCTGCCTGGTCCTGCCACACTGCCCTCTGGAGCCACATGAAGGAGGTCTTGTTGCTTCTGCACCCAGCAAGCCTCACAGTACTGAAGGTGAGTGACTCCTGCTCATCTTATCCTCCAAGGAAAGGGCTTCCTGTCTTCTCCCAATCGAGTCTGAGCCTCCCACTGCCCTGGCTCCATTTGGCAATGTAGCTGAGACCCAAGCTGCTGGCCAGGGTTGGCTCTGTTGTCTGTTCAATGCGTCAGACTCAGGAGACCCCTGGGCTGTGCCAGCACACAGGACCCCAATCTCTCCTTGCTGAGGGCCCCATGCTTTGTGGGTACCAGGCTGGTGTGGCTGCTCTGCTGACCCCACGGCCCCCTATCACCTGCTCCAGGGAGATGCTCATGTGCTGATAATCTGTGGAGTCATGGAATCACCCTAAGCTTCCATCCCAGGAAACCAACTGGAGTAAACCTCAAGAACACCCACGAGTTACACATCCTGGAAAGCAGCCACTGTCTTCCTGCCTTTAATCTGAGCAATTGATCAATCACCCCTCCTCCTTCTCTCTTGTCTTCTCTCTCTGCTCCAGGGAGCTGAGGGAGGCCTGCAATGCAGGCTTGGTTACACCCCGACAACCACACCTTTTCAAGTTTGGACTGACGACTTGGGTGCCCATCACCCAAAGGGCCCAGTCTAGACATTTGGGTGGTGGGCGTAGGAAGTGGTAGGGCTTGGAGCTGTAACAGCAACACAGCCCAGCACTGGGAGCTCAGGACCGGGATTCCATCGTGACTCTGCCAGCAGACACTGCGCCACCTGGGTGTCAGAGCGACCACGTCTGAGTTTCCCCATCCCAGTGCATGCTCTTCACTGCTGAAAATCATGTGTCAATCAGGCAATTGAGGGGTCCCCTGAGCCTGTCACAGTGCTGGCTTTTCCTGTTGTATACCTCTTCCTCATTTCAAACTTCGGTAGACCAAGGTGAGCCTGTCCTCTGGGCTTCCTTGCTGGGCTCTGCAGGTCCAGCCCCTTGACCCACCAGGAAGCCACCTTGCAGACAGAGACATCCTTGGGGACAGGGGCCCTGTGCTAGCTGCTGAGGAAAAGGCCATAGAATTCCCTAAGCCCTTTACTGCCACCCTCTCTGGTTAAGCTCAGGTCTTTTCCTCCCCTGAACAGATTGTACCCCCTTGGCCCAGGATGCACCTGACCCATGGTCAGTAGCCCCCTCAGACCATGCACACCTGGATTGGTAAACAGTCTGCATCTCTAATCCCACAGATTACTGCCACTTTGCAAATACATTTATCCTAAAAAAAAATGACCACCAGGTCTTCATCACATCCTATCCATTATTCATTGTCTGTCTGACTCCTACCCACCCATCAGGCTTCAGCTGTCACCATTTCTGGGAAGTCTTGCTGGGTCTCCTGCTTTCCTCCACCACCTCCTTCAGCTCCCTGAGAATGTCCTCGCCATTGCACAGAGGCCTCGGGCTGGCATTCCCCACTCACATCACTGTGCCCACCGAGAGGACGTGCCCTCCAGAGAAGCGTCTACAAGTACTACAAGACCCAGGCAGAGTGGGAGACCCTGGGTGCAGAGCTGGGTCTTAGGAAGATTTGATGAAGAAGCAAGTCTGGGTGGGCTCTTGTCTCCTGAGACAAAGCGATGCTCCATTCTCCTGTCCCCAACTTCTGAGGCCCGAGGCTGCTGCAGCCGCCTCGCTGACTGTGCCTACCTCTGAGAGAAGAGGTCCCTGTAGGGGCTTCCGTGCTGCAGGGCGATCCCATAGCCCTTGCTGCTGATGCTGTTGCCGATGACAGTCACCGAGCACTCGTCGTCCGTCAGAGCTGCGTACTCCACCACAGCCACATCCCATAGGAAGGCATAGTTGCCCTTCTTGGCCTGAAAGACCAAAATCAGTATGAGTCAGTGGGCCTGGTCTGCTGTGTTAGCTCTGGGCAGTGAGGCACCTGAGGGTGGACTTTGAGGGACCCACCCATCCTGAAGCATCCCCCCCAGTCACCAGATAATGCAGCAAACTCTCCTTCCATTTTCTAGCCCATGAGTGGTGCCATTGGTTTGTGTCACTCATTTTGGTTGGGTATGAAAGGATGTGCAGGCTTCAGCTCCAGCAAGTCAGAGACGGGGGGTGGGAGCAGATGTGAGCTGGAGGTGGGCTCAGCCCTGCAGAGAACAGAGTCACCCCGGAGGAGTGAGATTTTCAGATCAGAGGTGTAGGGACTGCTGACTAGTGTGGGAGAAAGACGATCCTTCCCGGAAAACATGGTCTGCAGGAGAAGTGGAAGGTGCTACTGGGGTAAATCTTACTTGCTTCATATTTCTACTTGGAATCTGACTTCAAGTCCTGCTTAGGGTAAATGTGGGTGACCCTGGGTTCAGTGCCCTTGAGTGGCCACCACTTGCTAAGGACAAGCACATGTCTAGAGCTTTCTATGCATGGGAAAGAACCCATTAAGGACAGTGCCCTGATCATGACGGTGCTATACCAGTCTCTGCCACATGCCTTGCACTGCCCATTCTACAGAGTGTGCACATACATACACATGCAAACATGTGTGCATACATGCAGAAATACATGTGTGTGCACGACACAATATGCATGCACATCTGCTTCTGTGTACACACATGTGCATACATACACAACACACATATACATGTGCAATGTTGTACACACATACAGATCTGCTCCTGTGCCTATGCACGTATACATACGCACACACACACACATATACAAGGACACACGTGTGTACAGGTGCACACACATACCCACACATCTCTGCAGTGTACACACACACACACATCCAGGAGCCAGTTTTTAGCATCCACATTCCCCTATGGCACCACGGTTGCAGATTATTTCAGCAAGAATTTGCCTGTGGCTTCAGCCAAAGTCCCCTCCATCACACCCCTCCACAGCAGACGTTCAGTTCTATCTTGAGCCATAATCCTAACTCTGCCTGGTGTCTGGACACTCAGAGGGAATGTGAGCTGCTTTACATTTTGGAAGAAGATGCAAAGCAGACATTGTCACTTGGCCGTCCTAAAATAGAGGATAATGTTCTCACTGCAGCAAAGTGCTGTGAGCATGCAGACGCCTCTCTGCTCTTTCCTTCCCTCCTACTATGGCTCACACTAGATGCTGGAAGACCCCGGGGTGGGCCTGGGGATGGGAGGTGATCACAGACAATAGCAGGCCAAGTGGGCAAGCCACAGGCTTCTTAGCCTAAGGAGGGCACTGTTCCTTGGCTCCTGCCTCTGTGCAGTTGAGTCAATACATCTATCAAGACTTTCCAAAGAACACCATGGCTGCTTAAATGAAAATCAAGACTTTCTTCTTTTCAGACCTGCTTGTCCGTGGTGCAGGATGGCTCATTTTCCCACCAGAAGCTCTCCATCTGCAGGATTTATGGGTGGAGCATGACCTCCCACCAATGGAATGGGCTGCTCCAAGCCATTCACACAGTTTGCTCAACCTCCTTGTAAGAAATGACATGCACTTGTGCCACCCATTGACTCGTACCTCAGGGACCGATGCAGATATGACACCAAACTTCATTCCTCAATCCATCCAATTTCGTAAGTCCTCAAGGACTTTGACCCAGGTTGCAAAATTACACACATCTCTCTCCCTCCATATGGGAAGATAACAGCCTTTGAAATTTTTTCCTGCTGGCAAACAGGTTTCCTTATGAAAAGATATAAATTTTCAACCTCTTAGTAACCAAGTTTCTTGGCAAAATGTTGACTTACGACCTAATATTTGGCTCCAGTCAGACTTGGGAGCACTTCACATCCATGCTCGCAATTCAACATGACAATCAGACATTGTTATTTGTACGATTTCAAAAGGGCATGTCATGTTGAAGGAAGAATTAAGAGCAGGTTCGTTTCTACCCTTCAAATGATGTTCCAAGAAGGAAACAGAAATGTGTTGCCTTGGATCAAGAGGAAAATGACTCTGAAGGCAGCCTGGTGGGGTCACACTAAAGAGAACTTGAACTTGGATTCGTTCAAGCCACAGGCACGTGTGACTCCAGCTTGGTCTCGGGACAGGCGAGCACAGCTGCATGAAAGAAGCTGCAGTGACAGCTGTGCTGTCCAGGAAACATCCAGAAGCAGTGCTCCCAATGCCTCAGCTTCAGTCCTTCTGCTCAGGAGGGTAGTAGAAAGTAGAAGTCTCCTTTTTGGCCTCACGGGTGGCCACAGCCCCTTATTTGCTTTTTGGAAAAAAGGATTTAAATTTATCATCGTATATCCCATGTCTACTTCAGAATGTGCTGAGTACTTCACCTGCCTGACAACCCCAGAGTGGGAAGAGCTAGAGGAGGAGGTGTGCCACCTTTTGTAATGGGAACCAAATCAGAAACTGCAGCTGCTGCGGGACAGACCACCTCCCGGCTCTGTCTCTATGGAATACTCCCCATTCCCACCAGCTCTTCTTCACCTCCAGGGTACCCCAGAGCTTCCTAGTCCCTCACAGGGTTGGATGCAGCCCCAACACCTCCCATGGGGCCCTTGAGTCCATCAGTTCCCAGAACTTTCTACACCTTGCGGATGTCTCTTTAGACTTTCTGGTGTGTTGGCACTTGCAGGAGACAGAAGCTTCTAAGGTCTGACCATGCTGTCAGGAACACTTCTGACAAAGCTGGGAGAAGTCAAAGCAAAACACGTTCTCCCTCAGTGGCTCTGTCTCCTGTGTATAGATCCTCCTTCTGCAAAGGTGCAGAACACCTTCCCCATCGAGAACAATTCTAAGATGCACTTCTTCCTACAGGGATCGGAACCGGCCCCTAATGACTGTAAGTCCACCTCTTTATTCATGTTTCTCAAAGCCCTGGCTGCCTGATACGAGTGGAGCTATGCCAAGCCTCTGCCTCCAAACAGCTCCTCTCTTCCCTGGCCCTCCTGTCTGCAGCCCAATCCCCTCCATTCTTCAGTCTCAGCACTACCCCCTGCCTCCACTCCTAGGCCCAGCTCCTCTTTTCTCCAGTCTCTGGTTTCTTTGGGAAAGCATGTCTCTCCCTCATCCTCCATTCTCCATTCAAGTCCTTAGCAGAGACCTCGCACAGTGAGACACTCATCATTCCCTGTTTATATGAACTGCTCCTTTCTGTTGAGGGTTTTCTGAGGCTTGGAGAAGACACAATAGAAGCAGGAATGTAGCCTCCTCTCGACCACGTGCTGGTGGTGGATGCTTGTGGAGTGAGAAAGGTAAGCCCAGCCACCTCTCTGTGGGTGTCCTGAGACCTTGGACCCAGTGGAACAAGAAGTCTTCAGATTCACTGTTGTTGTGGCTTCCTGTCCATACCAATGTCTTCTTCCTATGTCTCCCAGTGCTGTCTTTTCTCTACTTCCCAGGTGGCTGTGTGAAAGCAGGAAGCATGATGACCACAGAGCATGCAGGAGAGATGGTGGGTTGCTCACGAATAGATTGTTGGTATCGATTTCACGAAGCCCAAGAGATCGAAGGGGTGCCATTAAAACAAAACAAAAACAAACACTGGATTGCACCTCTTCAGTGGATTAAATTACCTTTCTCTGGCTGGTCCATTTGTAATGCTAAATGTGCCCTGAATTTCCAATCACTGTCTTCCCATGCATCAATGTCTTGTTAGGTAGCTGTTGGAAAGTAGGGAGGAGACGAGGCTGTCAGCAGGGCCCAGCCTCCTCCAGGTCCTTGGCTCTGTGCACAGCCTACATGGACATACAGACCTACCTGCCCCCCTCCTGGGGGGACCCCTAGAAAGCCCTTTCAGGACAAGCTCTGGCATCCTGGGACACCAGGAGCTTCCCCTCCCAGTGCTGTAGAAGGGATCTCAGATCATTTAAGAAAGCAGAGATCTAAACGTTCATATAGCCTAGTCTGCTTTTTTTTAAAATAATATCCAGTGTTGGTGAGGTTATGGCAAAATGTGCGTGATCTTTCATGGCATTTGGCATCTCAGAATGGTTCAACACCATGGAAAACAATGCAGCAATGCCCAACGTGAGCACTGAAAGCTGCCCAGACCACTCACCCTGGCAAACCAGAATTTGACCTAAAAAGTGCCCCCAATAGATCTGAAAGTTAGGGCAAACATTTTAAATCTAAAGTTGACTATAAAGTCAACATGGAACAGTTTAAAATATTCAGTATTAGGGAAATAAGTAATGGTTCACATATGTCGGGGTCTTATTCAATAGATAGTAATTAAAAAGACATCACAGGATCACTATTCACACACGCACACACAGAGGTTTTCAAAAGTTCATGCAGAAGTAAATTATAAAAATCTACACATGGATTTCATTTTTTTGCAGCAATAAACACATTTAATACCATTTTCTACAAACTTTTTGAAATACTCTCATGAATGCATGGGTATATATGAGTGTACATACACTTGATGAAAATAGTCAAAAGCAACAGGATGGATATAGACATACTAGTGTTACTGACAGATGCAGTCTTACTGTTGCTCTGTGCATGAGAAGTGGGACAGGCCCAAAGACAGACAGGAGTGTCAGCTAATGGGATGGGACAGTGACGAGTCCTTTTTCTAAGATTCATTCTAATGGAAGGCAGAGTGACAGAGAGAGGGGGAGGGAGACAGAGAGATCTTCCATCTACTGATTCATTTTCTAAATGGTCTCAGCCAGGCTGAAGGCAGGAGCCAGGAACTCCATCTTGAGTTTACACAAGTAGTTGGGCCTCATCCACTGCCTTCCTAGGTGCATCAGCAGGGAGCTGGATCAGGAGCACAGCATTCGGGACTTGACCTTGTACTCTGATATAGGATGCCAGCATCACAAGTGGTGGCTTAACTCACTGTGCCACAACATCTTGGGGCAACATGATGAAAATGTTCTCTTTAATCCTGCTCCACAGTCTATGCCATCAC